CCAAACCCAGAAGTACCAGAACAGGTTACTTTTGGGTTTCGGCACTCGCTAAATCACGCTTTGCGCATGCACAGAAGCGCCGAATCGCAACATGTGTGTGCGCAGACGCAGCACTGTGGGTTGCGAATGCTGCGGCTTGCGAACGTGCCTCCTGCACAGATCACATTCGCAACCCAAGCATCCACTGTATAACACCCATCCTAAAGGATCTTCATTGGCTCCCAGTGTGTTTCCAAGCACAATTCAAAGTGTTGGTGCTGACCTTTAAAGCCCTAAATGGCCTTGGCCTAGTATACCTGGAGGAGCGTCTCCACCCCCATTATTCTGCCCAGACACTGAGGTCCAGCTCCGAGGGCCTACTAGCGGTTTCCTCCCTGCGAGAAGTGAGGTTGCAGGGAACCAGGCAGAGGGCCCTCTTGGTAGTGGCGTCCTCTCTGTGGAACACCCTTCCTTCAGATGTCTAGGAGATAAAGCACTAAACAACTTTTAGAAGACATCTGATGGCAACCCTGTATTGAGAAGTTTTAAATGTTTAATGCTTTATGATGTTTTATATATTCTGTAAGCTGCCCAGAGTGGCTGGGGAAACCCAGATGGGTGGGGTATAAATAAAATAATAATAATAATAATAATAATAATAATAATAATAATAATAATAATTACTACTACTATTACTATGCACTATGGCAGGCTTCCTCAAACTCGGCCCTCCAGATGTTTTGAGGCTACAATTCCCATCATCCCTGACCACTGGTCCGGCTAGCTAGGGATCATGGGATTTGTAGGCCAAAAACATCTGGAGGGCCGAGTTTGAGGAAGCCTGTACTATGGAAAGAAGTGTGCCCTGTGTCCCCTAAGCTAGCTTGCTGCATTGAGGTTTGATGGATGATGCTGTCCCATCACTTGTCAGAGACTGGTCTGAAGGGGACGAGATAGAGGAGGAGGAATGGTGGAGATTCCCCCCCTCCTTCTCCTGACTCTTCCAGAGGAGAGGGAAGCAGTACTGATTTTACAGCAGGGGTTTGAGGAAGATCACAGCTCAGAGATAGAAGGACAAAAGAGTTGGGAAGTGTTAGGAGAAGGGGGAGGGGAGGGGAGGCTGAGCAGCTAGCTGACACATCACTGGAGAGTATTTCTGACGCCCCCTTCCCCTAGAACTCGGCCTTCGCTAAGGGTGCAGGAACAAAGGACGCAGAGGCTCTTGGCCACAAGCGGCCACTGTAAATGGAAATGCTGTTGCTAGGAAGAAGGGAGGATGTGCTCAGTTGGAGCAACGCCATTGTCAGGGCTGGTTGCATCCTTTTGTCTCTCGCTAGCATGAATGAATAAGCTCATTAAAAGGGACTCTACCTTGTTTTCTCTGCATATTGCTGCCACAAGGGAGGAAGAGAATTCCAAATGGGACTGTCCCAATCAGTGTCTGTACATGGATGGGGTTGGGGTGAGGAAACACTTTGTTGCCCTTCATACCAGGCAGGAAAGGGTCTTGAGGGGGCCCTACAAGAGATAGACTAAGGGTATCAAGCTGGAAGTCAGCTGGCAGTGACTTCTTCCCAAGCTAATAGACCATAGGTTGTGGGACTCCCTGCATCTCACAAGCCACGATGGCTGCAGAAACAGATGGAAAGAAAGGAGATTGCTTGGCAGCCAGCCCATCTCACAAGGTTGATGCTTGCATTGCCTCTGTCACATACATTAAGTATAATTACAATATCATCTTCCTTTATTTGTTTATGATGCCAGAACTAATAATCTTGCTAGTGCATAAAGCTTACTTGAAACTCTAGATGTTGTTTAGTTTCCTTGGGAACAATATTTGCATTTTCTAAGTGGGAGGGAAATGTAAATTCTGAAGTCAAGGTTTCCCAAATGGTTTGGAGAGACGTGGCAATCACAAAGCTGTTTTTCATACTGCTTGCTTACATTCAATAAATACTCTCCTCCTTTAATGTAAAGTAAGTGTATCTGTTTCCATCTGGCAAATATCGGAGGGTATGCTGAAAATCTTATTTGAGATGCAACTGGCATCGTCATCCAAGGGCACAGGCTTGCCAGCCAACTGCACAGAATCTGAATTGCTTGCACCGGTTTCCTCATTTCTATAGTAACACAGGAGGACGACTGCCAGTTCCAGATGCAAAGGAATGTGATTCTCGTCCTTATGTCAACTCTTGTCTTACACAACTGGCTACAGAAAGAGAGTCCAACTGTTTCACACCATGGAAAATGTAGAGACTGACATCGTGATTTCATTATGCATCTAATGAAATTGTATGTCAGATATGGCACAACCAAGTGTGCAAGTTGCATCACTGAGAAAAGTGTGGAGTCTTCTTTGCCTCCATGCACCGAAAACAGAATCACCAGGGTGCTAGATGTAATTTGCAGTGATGTATGTGTTCCACTTTATGTTCCCTCTCTAGGGAAAAAATAAGGACATACTATTTTTTCTGGGTGACTTCTCGAGGGACTATGTTGTGTACTTTCTAAAGGAGAAAAGTGAAACAGAAAAGACATTCAAAAAGTACATCACCAGGGTGAGCAATAAGATTTGAAGGAAACCCACAACCTTGGTCAGCAACAACCCTTCAGACATTTGAAGATGGCTGTTGTACCACCTCCCATCTTCTCTTCTCCAGTGCTTTTTCCCAATGGATGATTGAGCCCCCCTAGAAGCTCATTGATTTGCAACTGCACATGGAATCAGCCTGGCCCATACTGCTCTTTGGCACCTCATTAAATGACACCTGGCGTAGGGCACAAAGGGACTGATATCAGCAGCCATGGCAGTTCTGTGGTGGAGATGCTGCCTGGTTCCCATGCTGCTTTCCCCGGAGCAGCTATGAAATCTAATGAGGCAGGAGCAAATCCCTCTGGGGGACACTTAGTCAGTGAACAGCCTTGATAAAATCTTAAGTATGGGCCATTGGCTGTTTTCACATTTGTGGTTTTGGCCTCCTTTCTTCCTTGGTATTTCCAGAAAATTACAGCCGCTTCCTTCTGCTTCCTGAGCTCAGCAGGGTGGCTGTTGGCATAAGGTTTATAATATGGGATTCTTCACTGGTTTCAGACTTGCTTTCCCTCAACTCTGCGAGTTATACAATATGGGGCAAGGCGTCTCTCTATTGTTACACGGTCCTTCCCCACATGGTGAGGTGTTCTCAGGTCAGTGTGAGGGAATTTCATTTCCTTTGGAGGCAAGAGCGCTGGAGAGAGAGAGAGAGAAAGACTCATGTGGTCTTTGCAATGTTTGTTTTATGTGTAAGTATTTAAGCAGAGGATAAGCAGAGCCAAAATAGACACTCCTGCAAAGTAGATCCTCAGAGAGCAACTTGGCCACTCTTAAGGATGCACCCCATTTTGAGCTAACTCCAGATAGAAACTCTTAGATTTCTCTCTATGTTTCTGGCCCAGCCCTACCATTAGGTAGAGTGAGCTGGCTGCCTCAGGCATCAGATACTGGAAGACAGCAGCAGCTTGTCGGAGGACAGACCTGTGTTTCCCATGCAGCCTGCCCTTTGGGTGCCCCTCACCCACTGTTAATCTTGGGCCAGCGGCCATTATTTCAGCCTAACCTAGCTCACAGTGTTATTGTGAAGATCAAATGGGGGTAGGAAAGGAGCATGTACACCACTCCTTCCTTGGCAGAACAATGGGATTAAGATGCAACAAATAGATCATACATACTCCATATTGAACTGAGAGTGTGGTGCAGGAGTAACTGCAGGAGGAGACATGGAGAGTCAGGAGGAGACAAATACCCTCCAACATTCCTTGGATGAAAATAGGGATCTTCTATTCAACAACAACAACAACATTTATACTCCATGCATCTGACTGGGCTGCCCCAGCCACTCTGGGTGGCTTCCAACATATATTAAAACATAATAAAACATTAAGCATTAAAAAAAACTTCAGATGTCTTCTAAAAGTTGTATAGTTACTTATCTCCCTAGCTCAGGGGTCACATAACTCCACACCCTCCAACATTTGTCCAGTGACAATAGGAACAGCCTAAGGAAAAGCAGGACATTCCGAGATCAAATCAGAAACCAAGGCGGTTTCTGTAAATCCGGGGCTGTCCCTGGAAAATAGGGACACTTGGAAGGTCTGGCGACATGGCCCATAGCAGGTTTTGCAAAATGCAAATAGTATCAACTGGGAGGGGATGATATTGCCTGGAACTATAGCAGGTGTCATCCTGCCTCAAAGCAAGTATCAGCTTCAGATGAAGGAGTTTCCTTAGGACTACTGCAGGGGAAGAAGGGGTTAATTTCCCACTCCATTCACACACACACTCACACCCTCCAAGCTCTCCCCCCAGCTGATTCTATTTCTTCTTTTTAAAATCTCCACATTAAATGCAAAAACACATTTCACATCAGGTTTGCCCTTAAGACCAATCATGATGCAAAAACCATTATTGCTGTTATTATAATATATCCTCAGTGGAATGCATGGTACTTTACAGAGCACAAGAGACTAGGTCCCTTTCCCAAGGGGCTTCCAAGTCAAGAAATTCATACAGGAACAACAGAGGAAGGAGAGGAAAGATTAACAGAAAATCTTGATGCTGAGTTTATCCACATGGATTTCTTTTTTCCTAATTCCCATCTTAACCCATAATATTGTCAGGAAGAGAGACCCCATGCTCCCCACCACACTCTGGGCCCAGTTCTACTAAAAGACATCTTTTTCACCCAGGCTTTCCCTGACCCAGAAGACTGGGCCCTGAATAACAACAACAACAATAATATATTCTGAGCGGCTCCAAACAGAATATTAAAAACACGATAAAACATCAAACAATAAAAACTTCTCAATACAGGGCTGCCTTCAGATGTCTTCTAAAATCAGACAGTTGTTTATTTCCTTGACATCTGATGTGAGGGCATTCCACAGGGCGGGTGCCACTACCGAGAACGCCCTCTGCCTGGTTGCCTGTAACCTCGCTTCTCGCAGTGAGGGAAACTGCCAGAAGGCCCTCAGAGCTGGACCTCAGTGTCCGAACTGAACAATGGGGGTGGGGACGCTTCTTCAGGAATACTGAGCTGAGGCCATTTAGGTGATTCAATCCTCTGTTTTGGTTTTATAAGATTTTATGCTGCTGTTTTATTGGTTTTGCATTGCATTTTTGTTCTAATGATATTGTTTAGTTTTTATATTGTACATACAAACACTTAAGAGATTAAAAAATTAAGCTGCTGGTAAATGATTTTAAATAAATAAATACAATTTTTGCATACTAAGTGCATTATTATACCCATTGTTATACATCTCAAATTGTATTGTGATTTTAAAATTCAACAGAATACACACATTTTCTGTATGCAGCCTTGACTAATGTACTATAAAGCACTTTAGCATGTTAATTTTTTGCTAATAAAATGATTTTTATGCACTCTCCTGAAATATATGCTTTTTTCTAAATCTTGGTTGGTTGGAGAACTGCACCACACAATTCAGATAAGTTCCAATTTCAAAGGATAGCTGTGGTTTGGTTCTCATATTGTTCCGAAAAATGCAAATTTGATATTTTGTCTACTCTCCTTTTTAAGCTGTCTAAACTGGTGGCCACTACTGCATCTTGTGGGGGTGAATTCTACACCTTAGCTATGCACTGTGTGAAGAAGTACGTTTGTCTATTCTGAATTTCTCCATCCTCTGACAATTTTCATTGCTCTTTTCTGCACCTCTACCTTTCCTACAGCATCATTTGCAGGAACTAGAACTTTGCACAGCACAGCAAGCATGGCCATACTATAGATTTTCCAAAAAAAAAAAGGCAGTTTCATCATGGGCAGTTTTGCTTTTCACCCCCTTTCCTCCAGTGTAAGCTTTCACACCCACCAAAACCTGGATATTGTCAATATCTAAGTAGCAAATTAAAAATGGCCCTCGGCAGCCCCCACAATTGTTTTATGAGGTGGCCTGAATCTTCCAGAGACCAAACATACTAGCTTGAATCCATTATACAGAGATTACTCCTGCTAAAACCAATGGGATTTCTTTCAAAGCATAATATTGGATTGAAATGCAAGACAAATGAGGCAGGTAAGAGCTCGTTCACTCTGCATATTTATAAGAAAATGACTATAGAAGGAAGTGGTAGCTTGTGCAGAGCCATTGCAGTGCGCAAGCTGCAATGCTTTTCAATGAAATTAAGAGACACATTATTCTGTGCTCCATCACAGCCTTTTCACAAGTCACCTCCACATACAGCCTAAATGGGGTGGGGAGCAAAGCTATTGACCTTCTGCCCCCACCAACTTACTCTGCATGACATCTGCAAAGAGGATGTCCTGTTGCGTGCTCATAGGATTTCATGTGATTCAGAACCCCATGCAATCTGGATTCCCCTTTTCATGTAGCGCATACTGAATTCACCAATGTTGAGGAGTGGGGTGGGGTACAATATGATGTCAGGGTCAGCAGATACAGCCCATCCCCTCTCCACTGAGCTGACACATAGAGGCAACCTTGTGAAGAGGCAACAAGTGTTCAAATAAGCAAGAAAGGTGCAAGCAATGGCAGCTTGTAAACTGGAGAGGAGGGTAGTCTGCAGTCATTGAGCAATTATTGACGGAGAATGGGGCTGGGACATACCGTGGGTTGCTGGCACCCAGGGCGAGGCGAGTGTTGTGTCCCCTGGTGGACTGGGCAGCGGTCAGTCCCTTCACATGCAGGAGAAGACCAATCAGGCTCCAGGAGGGAAGCAGAATCAGCCAATCAGACAGGACTCATTGTGTAAATAATGTATATAAAAGCCTGAGGTTTGGGTGTGTGGGGAATTCAGTCGCTGTTTTACAAGCTGCAATAAAGAACATGAAATCACTGCAGGACTCTGAATATATTTCAAGCCCCAACCTGGGAGCAGAGACAAAGCAGAGAAACACAAAGGCAATCAGGTCAACGTACGTGGCTCTGGCAGTGTTTTACCGCCTTCCTCTTCCTCCCTTCCTCCTTGGTGGGCAGTGGTGGCAGCAGCCTCCCCTCCCTCTTGGCCGGCCCATGGGCGTCCTTTCGCTGGCCAGGAGCAGAAAGAGGCACTTATTTCCCCACAGCTCTGGCCTCAATGAGGGAGCCCATTGTGGGAGTGCTTGGTTGCACCTCCTCAGAAATTTGCACCCGGAGCCATCGCTCCCCTGCCCCCATGCTACACCACTGGAATGGGGCTCTGTGCACCAATGGGTGCAGGTACGGCTGCATACCCATGAGCTCCCAATCTGGCATGATATATTTGACCTGGGCGCTGCTGGCCATTCAGCAGCATGGCCTGCATCCGGCACTGCCTTAGCTGTCCCTGGTGCCTCTCATGTTCCCTTCCCTGGTCTGGGTCTACAGTCATTGGCAGTGGTCAGCTGCTATTATCCAGGGGTCAGCAAACTTTCAGCTGGGGGCTGTTCCACTGTCCCTCAGACCTTGTGGGGGGCTGGACTATTTTTTTTTGGGGGGGGGTGGATGAACAAATTCCTATGCCCCACAAATAACCCAGAGGTGCATTTTAAATAAAAGGACACCTTCTACTCGTGTAAAAACACACTGATTCCCGGATCATCCGCAGGCCAGATTTAGAAAGTGATTGGGCCAGATCCGGCCCCCGGGCCTTTGTTTGCCTACCCATGCTATTATTCAACCTCCCTTGCAAGCTTTCACTTGGGTGCATAGGTGTTCAAAGTGTGCAGGCTGCCACAATACACAGAACCTCTGCTCCTCAAAGATCTCTGTGGAGCAGGCGTCTTGTTGAGAGCACACAAATACATACCGAGAGAAGCTCTCCCATTAAAAGATACACTTACTGTTGATACCTTTGCTGCTTCCCCCTCTGTTCTGCTTCTCTGCAATCAGCCCAGCGAAACTTCCCTTCTGTGCTTTGTGAATGGGTTGCATGTTCTCACCTTGAGGTGAATGGAAATGTTAACTGGAATGTGGGGGGAGAAAAAGAAAAAGAAACAACTTGACGCTTGTCCAAACCTACTCGTGTTTATACTGGAGCCTAGGAGTGACATCAGAGCAGGGAAGAGTATAAACACTTGCAGGGCTTTACTCGCAGACTTTTAAAACTTCAGACACGCTGCTGTCTCCAAACTGCCTGGGGAGGGATGTGCTGAAGTGTCAGAATGAAACTCCAGCTTCTCTTGGTCTCCTTCTTTTGTCTCCTTTCCAAGGTAAGGAAGCTGGGAATGTTTGTTTAGATAGCAAGGATCTTTCCCCCATTCCCCCACTTACAAAACCATTTATAATCAAGCAACTTCAGTTTGGCAACTGGAATAATTAAAGGATGTCTTCAAACACTAATGTGTCTTTTTAATGTGCATGCTTAAGTGTCACATCTGTGCAAACCGTGGGGAATGTGCTGTTGTGAATAAATGTTGAAAGGCCAACTTTTATCCTTTAGAACCACTCTTCCCATATTTTAAATCACTGTATTTGAATCTACTTCATTAATTGTGCGCCGGTACCAAAGTCATGTGCTTATGCTAGCAGAGGAGGCTGCATAGTAATCAATTAAATAGTTTCTTCTGCACACTCAGTTCTCTGTTTTACAATCTCAAGAGGCACAAAGCCAAGCAGCTGGCATTATTTTTCAATATTGCTCAATTGTTGTCCAACTTTTGCTCCGGGAAATACAGAGAAGCACATGTACAGCTGATGCCTCCTGCAGGATTGCACAAGATGAACAACATTGTTCATTTAACATGTACACACACACACACGAGAACAATTTAATCACTTGAGAGTTTTCCAGTGGTTTTAGAATACTGCTTCAGTTTCAGATTTTGGAAACACACTGTAAGTGTTGAGATTGTTGCAGTTGCCTGTCTTTAAAAATATGTAACACATGGACTGGATACCTGTGTGAAAATACAATCAGGTGTTACTTAAGGACACAGCAACCCAGAATATAAAGCATAGGAGAGGTAAAATTAATCAGATCATAGCAGATATTCAGCATATTTACATCCAAGAATAGCCTGTAGTGGAGACAAGCAAGCCTATTAAAACAAATACTATACCTCAACAGCTATAAGAAATGTGCATTATATCCCAATGACATCAATTCTCGTTTGGTCATATTATCCTAGGAAATATAAAGGTGTGGTTTGCTTTTCCTTACTGCACACTCTCGGTATGACTCAATGTCAGGGGTAACACAATTGATCAATTTTTAGATTATTCAAATAGCACTCCTGTGAGTGACTCTAGGTAGGTTTTGTTTCCAAATTCTGTGAAGGAGATGAAAGGGCATCATTTGATGAGTTACACTGCTAGAGATGCTGAACATATTAGCATCACAATGACATTATTTTCTTTCGAATGCAAATATATCACCAGAAAGAGGAAACACTGACAAAGATTCTTAAGAAGGCAGATTCTCTTATAATCTTTGACCCCTGTCTACTGAGTAGAGCAATTGTGAGTTACCATAGACACTAGTCCCTTTCTCACTTCATTGGAAAGGAAGGAGTGTGGCAGGCTGTATCCATACTAAATACATTGCTTTTTTTTTAGTCTTGATTCACCACTTTCCTGTTTGCTTTAACGCAGGGGTAGGCAACCTAAGGCCCGTGGTCTGGATGCGGCCCAATCGCCTTCTCAATCCGGCCTGCGGATGGTCCAGGAATCAGCATGTTTTTACATGAATAGAATGTGTCCTTTTCTTTAAAATGCATCTCTAGATTATTTGTGGGGCATAGGAATTCCTTCATTTCCCCCCCAAAAAAATATAGTCCGGCCCACCACATGGTCTGAGGGACAGTGGACCAGCCCACGGCTGAAAAAGGTTGCTAACCCCTGCTTTAACATGTCCACTGCCTCTCTTCTTACCTCAAGGCCTTACTCTCGTGTCAATTAGTTTATTTGCTCATTCATTACGTTTTTATCCCTTCCTTCCTTTGCTGAGCTCAGGGAAGTTGTTTGCCTCCTGTGAGGTAGACTAAGCTGAATGTAGTAGACTAAGTGATGGGCCCAAAGTTAACCAGTGAGCTTCTTTGTTGAATGGGGATTTGAGCCCAGGTGTTCCTGAATCTAACCTGAGTTGGCTTTTTTCATCTTCCCTCCCCATTCCTTTCCCCTTCTGTGCCATGTCTTTTAGTTGTTAATCCATTAAATGATTGTACATAAGACACTCCGGAGTCTTTTTGTCTGAAGAGCGGGGTGAAGTTGCTATGAATAAATAAAAATGCTTGCATCTGTGTATGAGGTACATGAGCTGGGAAAATATGGCTTAGTGTGTGTGCAATTGTAAATCACAAGAAATCATCTGCACTTGAGATCTGTGCTCTGCACAGAGATGTTATTTTTTTGTAGAAAATGTGATATTATAGAACACTGTTAGTCTGAAAACACCATACTTGATTTAACAACAGTGCTTTTTCAATCTTGACAAATCATTTAGTGTTACATCTAAAACAAGGATCATGGTTTGTTTTGTACTAAGGAACCAAGATTGGTAAGCCAAGAACAAACTGTGGCCAATCATCATGGTTTGGAGCAATACAGACCAGCCTGAGGAGTACAACTCTGATGAGGAATGGCCAGGATCCTGAAACTCCACAGGAACAGTGGAGCAGTGTTGATTTGGAACAATGGTTTTCTGAGGGGCACAGTTCGGAAGACAATAGTTGGGCAGAACTGGGAGGTGAGCAGCAAGAAGCAGAACAGGAAGAGAGTGAGCTAGCAGACTCTCTCTCACTGGAAGATGTGCAGCCTCTCAGTGTCAAGGCTAGGAGATTAGATAAGGTGGCTTCGCAAAAGGCTAAAGGTTGACAGATCAGGTAGCTAGGAGACAAGAGGATGGAAGTGACTAGAGGGAAGTCGGTGGAACCTTAACTGGGAGTACCTGCACTCTGAGAAGGGTGGCTTGTTCTTTTGCTGCATTCATTAAACATTTCTGTTACTGGTAAGAGACTGCTTTCACTTTGTACTGCTTATCTACGGCCAAGGGAGGGAGGAAGCAGTGCCTCTGAAGCCTGACACATAATGATATGTGGACTGCCATGAAGTCCAAACGTGGCCTATATGTAATTAGAGTAGTAACCATAAAAAGACCCTGTGTTGTGTTCAGGCATATTAATGGTGCCCTGTGTCTTTATGTACAGCCCAGTCTCTAGATTTTCACCTTCCTCCTTGACATGGACTAGGAGAATCATTATCAAAGGCTGCAAGCCTTCGCCTAATGAAGCTGAATGAAATACAGATACAGTGGTACCTCAGGTTACAAACACATCAAGTTACAGACTCCGCTAACCCAGGAGTAGTACCTCGGGTTAAAAACTTTGCCCCAGGATGAGAACAGAAACCACGTGGCAGTGGTGCAGCGGCAGTGGGAGGCCCCATTAGCTAAAGTGATACCTCAGGTTAAGAAGGGTTTCAGGTTAAGAACAGACGTCCGGAACGAATTAAGTTCATAACCAGAGGTAACACTGTACTAAACTCTGTGTTAGTTTTGATCAGGGGTAGTCAACATGCTTTCCTCTACGTGTTTTGGACTACAACTCCCATAAACTCTGCCCATTGGCAATGATGGCTGGGGCTGATGGGATTTGTAGTAAAAAAAAAAAATCTGGAAGGCACCACTGGTTTAGAGACTAGCCCAAAAACATATCACCAAAATGTTGTGGTGCAGTCTGTCAATTTGGAACACACCCTTTCAATGTATTTTAGAAGCTAGGAAGATGCAGAAAACTATTTATTTATCTTGCTTCTCTCATTATTGATGTAACAACTTTACAAAGGCACAGAATTTTCCAGCCTTTGTTATGAGTTATGCCAGAGGACACTCAATTGGATACTTGTTCGATTGATACTAAACTAGCTGATACTATTACTTTGATGTTAGCCACCCTGAGCCTGGTCCGGACCGGGGAGTGCAGGGCATACATCTAAGGATATTCATCCCATCTTAAGGTGCTTACTTATTCAGTCACTGGTCAGTAATGAAAACACAATAAAGCCAATATCAAAATCAAAGTTGACCATAAATCAAAGTTGACCATCCATCAATACAGAAGTGAGCTTCAGTCACGTGATTCTCCTGGTATTATTGTTTGTGAGAGTCCCTATCCTATTAACTGCTACGTATCCTTAGCTATGATTGATCATTGGAGGGGTTCAACTACTTAGAGGAGTCAGTCACACAAAGAACAGTTCTTGCCAAATCAATAGTTAGGCCTCTTCTTGGAGGGAGGCCTATTGTGCTCCTCAACCGGCCCCAGCCATTTTAGGTGGAGAGGGATTATAAAGCAGAGTGTCTTGGTGAATTGTGCCCCAAACGTGTAGGGACATCAGAAGAGACCTGCTGGAGTAGGCCAAAGGGCCATTTAGCCAGCATGTTGCTGTCACTGTGGTGAGATGCCTATGGGAAGTCCAAAAAGGAGATTCCAACTAAATATCAGAAAAAAATTCCTGACAGTAAGACCTTCTTTGACAGTAGAACGGACTCCCACTTGAGGTTGTGGACTCTCCTTCCTTGGAGAGAATTCCTTTGTGGGAATGTTGAGGGTGGCAAGAGAGGATATATTGTTTATTGATATCCTTCCTAACTTGCACTAGCAAGTTCCTTTACTTAACAGAGTGCATTCCCCTTTACACAGCAAAAAACTTGTTGCAAACTTAAGACAATATGGTGGTGCCTCGCAAGACGAAATTAATTCGTTCCGCGAGTTTTGTCGTCTTGCGAAGCACGGTGTCGGGAACGTTTTGGAAAAGCTTCAAAAATCACCAAAGTCTTTAAAAACCTCAAAAGGGCTACCACACCGCGTTCTATGAGTTGCTCCTCAAAGTCAAGTCGCAACTGTATTAACGGTGTTAAGAAAAAGGAAACAAACTTGCAAGACGTTTCCGTCTTGCGAAGCAAGCCCATAGGGAAAATCGTCTTGCGAAGCAGCTCAAAAAACAAAAAACCCTTTCGTCTAGCGAGTTTTTTGTCTTGCGAGGCATTCGTCTTGCGAGGTACCACTGTACGCAATTCAATCTGGCTTGTCCAGATTAAAATGTGTTATCATATTTTCCTGGTAAGACCCCTTGAATCCCTCCTAAAAGAATAAAGACACCACAGTCTTATTCATAAGTAACAGAAAGAAAGTTTACTCACGATCAGGCAGAGCACAGTGTGATCCCTGAAGGCAGGCTTTAGGCTTCAAGTTTGAAACATATTCAAACAGGTTTACCCCATAAGGGAGATTTACCTAGTGACTGCAGGCTAGCAGTCCAGCAGTTCACAGGATGAAAGGAAGATGGAAAAGAGAGAGAGAGGCAGCATGCCTTGTCCTTTTACCAGGTCTGGAAAGGTCACGCCCACCCACTAGTCGCATGCAAGGAAGGATGCTCTAGGCCAGGAGGAACAGGAAGTTTTGACTGGCTGGACCAAACATTCCCTTGCATGTCCACTCTAGCGAAACAAGGAATGTTGTATTTGACTGCTCCCAGTGAATTCCTTCCCACATATTTAAGCAGGGGTTGGACGGCCATCTTTCATGGATGCTTTAGCTGAGATTCCTGCATTGCAGGGGGCTGGACTAGATGACCCATGGGGTCCCTTCTAACTCTTCAATTCTATGATCCTATGACATGCAAGACTTGAGCACAACAGCCCCCTCTCCACCTGCGATTCCCAGTACCTGGTATTCAGGAGAATGCTGCTAGTAGCCATGGTTTGTGTACCGAAAAAAGAAAGGCATTCAGTGTCACTACAGTGGACGCTCAGGTTGCAAACGTGATCCATGCGGGAAGCACGTTTGCAACCTGCAGCGCAGCGTGTGGACATGTGCGGGTCGCGCTTCTGTGCTTCTGCGCATGTGCAAAGCACAATTTAGTGCTTCTGCGCATGCGCAAGTGCCAAAACCCAGAAGTAACCAGTTCCAGTACTTTCAGGTTCGGCACGGTGCGCAACCTGAAATGGCACAACCCGAAGCATCTGTAACCCGAGGTATGACTGTATATCCTTTTAAAAAACTTATTATTACAGTGGTGCCCCGCAAGATGAATGCCTCACAAGACGAAAAACCCGCTAGATGAAAGGGTTTTCCATTTTTTGAGTCGTTCCGCAAGACGAATTTCCCTATGGGCTTGCTTCGCAAGACGAAACGTCTTGCGAGTTCTTGCGGGTTTGCTTCCTTTTTCTTAAAGCCGCTAATAGCCGCTAAGCCGTTAATAGCCGCTAAGCCGCTAATAGCCGTGCTTCGCAAGGCGAAAAACCCGCAAGACGAAGAGACTCGCGGAACGGATTAATTTCGTCTTGCGAGGCACCACTGTATTCAGCTGCTCATTTCACCATGTCCCTATATTCTCTCTCTCTCTCTCTCTCTCTCTCTCTCTCTCTCTCTCTCTCTCTCTCTGCAGGTGTATGCACAGCTTTGCCAGACTCCATGCTACTGCCCATGGATCCCTCCACGTTGTCCACCAGGCTCCTCCTTAGTTCTGGACGGCTGCGGCTGCTGCAACATATGCGCCCGCAGACTGGGAGAGCCCTGCAGCTATCTACACATCTGCGATCGGAGCCAAGGACTTGTCTGCGATTACAGCGCTGCCCTGATGGGGAGAGGAGGAACCTGCAATTGTGAGCTATTCCTTCTTGCCTCTCTTTGCAGGAGCCCCTCTGTCATTTAGCAGGATGGAACTGGATCCCTCAAACTGGGCAAAGCCAGAAATGTCTAATGCATACGGAAAGAACGCCTGAAAAGATTAGGAAACCTGCGGGGTGCCCTTGAAACACAAGAGTCCAAAAGCATGTTGCACTCCAAAATCTTTATTAGATCTGTGAGTCAGGGCCAAAGTACACATGGCTAGCCATCATTCATGACTATCTTGTGTTTTAAAAGTGTTAATAGTAACTGTGGGAATTACAGGGTAGCAGGGAGAGGAATTTGAACTGGGACTGCAGTGCTGGGGTGTGTGTGGATTTTTCAATCTCACATTATTCTTTTCAGTTAACACCCCTCTCTCAAGAAGTTTCTATTGGTCGTTTATGGCAAGACATGCAGTTGTTGTATAGCTTTTTTAGGGAAAATCAGGAAAATTTGTGTGGAAAGGGTTAAAACTTTGCTCCTCTGTGCCATGGCCCTGATCTAAATTCCAGATACCCTGCTGCTATTATACTCATACTTAATAATTATGAACAGCCATAGCAAGACAGAAAGTGCCATACATAACTAGGAAATGCTCCATATCCTGAGAAGTACTAGTAAAGAAGAATATTTCACTCACCAAAGAGTTAAGGGCCATTGTGACATCAGCACTCGGTGAACCAATCTTCTCCCTTTGCCCTCGCCTCTGTTGGCATGCGTGAAAATCCTGAGTGTCGAATGGCGCATTGGTCCACGCTGGCGATTCCAAACATTCACACCCTTTGGTGGGCACTTCGCTAGAAAGGGGTGATGATGCTCTCACAGGGCCATAAATCAGAGGCTGTGATGACAGTCCTGTAAGTTGGTACACAGTGCAGGCTTGGCTATATGTCATGACTGTGTCTTCTCTATTCTTCCCCTAGAGCTCCCATGGCAGCAGGCAGGAATGCAAACAAAACTCAGCAAATATGCCCCGATTTCCTGTCCTACTTGGAGAGTTCAGGTCAGCTGACAGGGATGTGAGTTAAACAAATATCGGCCTTTTACAAAATAACAAGACCTAACTTGGAGCAAAGTGACTTTCCCGTTTTTAAAAGCTTTCTAGAAAGAGAGGGAGAACTGTGACCAACTCTTGGAAAGGTAGGGATCCCACACTCTGAGGATGGAGTCAGGCTTAGCTTGGGTATTAGTCCATTAGGCAATTAAACAAAACATGGATATCAGAAGCTGCCAGGTAAGAAACTACTATCTAGTTTGCCTTGTATTTTCAGCCCTAGCAGGTGGCACTCCCAAGATCTCAGGCAGAAGTCTTTCACATCATCTCCTGCTTTTAACTAGAGATGCCAGGGATTGCATCTGGAAATCTCTGCATGGAAAGTAAAGTTCTGTCACTGAACTATAGACCTTCATTCTAGCAGGAAACAAGGCTGTGCTTGTCACTGCCAGTTAGTAGAAATCAGGGGTTCCAAAAAATGTGGTCTGTGGACCTTCTTTCGAGGTTAATTTGGGTGGTTTGTTCCATATCAGCAATAAATATTCATATTGTTCTATTGTCTACCAAGATGATCTGCAATTTTCAAATGCTCCTGGGCAGGAGAAATTTGGGAACCACTGGTGTAGATAGTCCTGAGCTTCCTCCCTTCCAGATGACCTGTTTATTGGGCATCTATCTTGATTTGTTTGCCACGAGATTAGATGATGTCACATCAAAGCAAGTGTTGTCCCAGACTTTCCACTGACTTTCCCTGCCACTTTCCCTATTGCAAACAATCAGATCTTTTGAGGAAGCAGATTTGTTGTGCAACAGCTCCAAATCCGCTTTAATTATGCAACATGAATTTGCAGGTGTATGGCTGAATCCCAGCTGAAAATTGCGACAGTCTGGACATCTTTGATAGACCAATGGTCTGACACCGTATAATACAGATTTCTGTGTAAATTGGTTTGGGCTGGCCCTGTTCATATGAGTGCAGAGAATTCTTCAAATAAACTGGTCTGAAATTGTTCAGATTTCACTTCCCATTCCCACTTTGGAATGTTGCCAATGGATTTCTTGGTTTCTGAGCTTCTCCATGGAAGACTCTGTCACAGCAGAAAATCCAGATGGAAGGCCAACACAAGGCCTGACTGTGTAACGGCTTTTCACTCCACCTTATATTGTATAGCCAACTTTCTGGTTTGTGGAGTTGCATCTGTAGGAGAATCTCTGACACAAAAATATTTCTCATAATCATTAGGAACAATGTACCTCTCACCTGTTCTTGCAGTGGAAGAAGATACATGGCCTCATCAGTCTTATAACTAGTCTTTTGGCCCAAAATGTTAAGTTTTAAATAACCCTTTTAGTTTTTGGCTTTTAGGCTCAAATGTACTGGGTTTCTGACCCTAATTCCTGATACCTATGTAAGGAATTCAGTGGAGAAATTCCCTTTCCTAAAAACAAAAACACAGAGCCAATTTCAGTTTCAGAATGTGGAAGTACCATATTCCATTGCTGATCATATTACGTGGTAGCTCTGTTACAGACTGAATGCCTACATTTGATTTCTCCCATTGTTTCTGTCTACTCTGAATGTGGACTACAGATGAGGACGACGACGACAGCTGCGAAGTGAATGGGAAGATCTATCAGGATGGGGAAGTGTTCCAGCCAAGCTGTAAGCTCCAGTGCCGCTGCTCAGGAGGAGGTTTCACATGTGTCCCCCTCTGCAGTGAGGATGTTCGCCTCCCCACTCCAGATTGCCCCCATCCAAGGCGTGTGGAGATCCCAGGAAAGTGCTGCCAGGAATGGATTTGTGAAAGACAAGACAGGCAGATCTTGCCGGATACCATGGCAGGTAACACTCAACAGGTCCTGGCCCACCTTTTCGATCATCACTTTGTTGTTGAAGTTACAGCCCAAACTAACCTTGCATTTAAGCACTAGCCTGGTAGCCGGAGCTGAAAAGCTGTTGCATGCAGGTGAATGAGGGGGCTTGCAAGGGTGGCTACTTAGACATTGCCAAAAAAAGAGGAAAGGTTTTGCCTAAAAGGAGGCTCTAGAGTTTCCTGGAATATACATGTGCTGATTTCTATTGCAGATTTAGAAGTAATTGCTGTAAATTAAACAAGCACAAGGCATCTCCCCATCGTGGGGAAGACTGTGGCCAGGTGACTTGTATGTACCTGCACAGTCTGCTGTTCAGGTGCTGTTGGTCTAGGCCTTAAAGCATTTGCTTCAGAGGTTGTGCAGCTTAGATCCTCAACTGGAGTTAGATGATTCGGTGCACACTGGCACTTGCTGGAACTGAAAGTTCACTGGACAAATCATGTGCAGATTCCTCCTTTGGAAGACCTTGCTAAGAATGGAACCAAGGAGCTATTTCAGGAATCCCTGAGTGGAATTCAACCTTGCACTTGGTGAACATTCTGTCAGTGCAAGCATTGCGGTTTACCAGATGGAATAATCCCCCATGTCCTCACCCCACACATACTGTTCTGCGGCTTCTCCTGACACTGAAATCCCAAGCCAATTTCTGTGGGCACAAGAGGAGGAAAGGTGGGAAAGCTCCATTGACCTTTGCACTGGCAGGACTCATTAGGGGCAAGCCATGCCCTCTTCTTCAGATTCACTTTCCTATAACTCTCTCCTCCTTCTCTTCTGTGAAAAGGAAGCCTGAAAGAACTTGTTTTTTTTCTGGGGGTGGGTGATTTCTATTGACAATTATAAAAAAAAGACCTCACAAGCTTCCTCCTTATGCTTGTTTCTTCCCCAAATGTAAACATTGTTGTGTTGCTGCTCTCAATAAGTTGAGCTATTGGCACAGCACAGTTGAACATTAAAACATTAAAACTCCGACAAACAAAACAAAAACATTAGGGAAATACTGTAGAACTACTAATAAATCAGAATGCTATGTGGACAGTCCAATATAAATCCACCACAAATCTTTCTACTTTGGCGATCACTCGTAGCCGAGTAAGATTGTCTTCCATAAACACGGTTTTAACGGTGGGTTCGTAAGTGACTGTGGAGGCCAATTCTGCATCCACACGTCCTTCCACAGTGGGGACATAGGTTTCTGGGCAGGAATTGATCATGGTGAGGGTTTGCCAAGCGTGCCTTCCTCTTAGCACATTTATCCCTTCCATCCTAAGTTCGAGCGTCTTCAAAGCCCATGACGCTTTTGGTAAAGGCTGTTCTCCAGTTGGAGCGCTCACAGGCCAGTGTTTCCCAATTGTTGGTGTTTATACTACATTTATTTAGATTAGCCTTGAGAGAGTCTTTAAACCTCTTTTGTTGACCACTGGCATTATGCTTTCCCATTTTTAAGTTTGGAACAGAGTAGTTGCTTTGGAAGACGATAATCAGGCATCCGCACAACATGACCAATCCAACGAAGTTGATGTTGAAGAATCATCGCTTCAACACTGGTGATCTTTGCTTCTTCCAGTACACTGTCATTAGTGTACCACAAATATGTTGTTATTGCATCCATGACATGTTACAGAATACACCTAAAAACAACAACAACAACCCACCCTCAGTCTGGAGGAGGTCCTAATTCACAAAAGCTTAGGCCACAGCAGTAATAACAATAACAATAACAATAACAATAACAATAACAACAACAACAACAACAACAACAACAACAACAATAATAATAATAATAATAATAATAAATTTATTATTTATACCCTGCCCATCTAGCTGGCTGCCTCAGCCAAACCTGCAAGTTTTACAAATCCCACAAAACCCTTCCCATTTTTTGCTACAAAACTAAGAAGACTATCCCTCTGGAGGTTGTTGCCTTGAAATTGATGTGCATCCATTTTAATGAAGCTTCTTTCTTTCATTCCCTGCTCAGCACAAAGGCTCCCTGGGACAGCGTCGATATTGATCCCCTATGCTTGTGAACAGTGGAGCACTGAATGGTCTGCCTGTTCTGCCACCTGTGGCGTAGGGATCGCCACGCGTGTATCTAACCAGAATCAGTACTGCAGGCTCGAGACCCAAAGACGCTTATGCCTCCTCAGATCCTGCCAGGGTCTGACGGGAATAGCCAGCATGGTAAGTGATGGGTCTGTGGCAAAATACGAGGAATCTCCACCAGGGCTGAAGTTGCTTTTTTTAAAGGAGGGACTCCCCACCACATGGCAGACATATGTCAGGTGGCTAATGTGGTTACTGTCACAAAGAATTTCTTGCTTTGGAGACAGAGCAAATGAGGATACAGAACTAAAGGGCAGGAAAAAGGGGCTGGTCAACAAGCAAGTGAGGGCAAGGACAAAGGAGTAGGTCCTTTGATGGGGTGAAGGACATTTGTGAGTGTGAAGCCTGGCTGGAAGACCATGGCTTGCTGAGGGACATAATGGAGAAAAGTCTGTGTGTGAATGAGCAGCCCAGCAAGCCAGCTTTTGGGTATAGTTGTGGGAAATACATATTTGTGAAGCAAGCCCAGATGGGTAGCTTAATCTGAAGAGCACGAGACTCTTGATTTCTGGGTTGTGGGCTCAAACTCCAAGTTGGGCAAAAGGATTCCTGCATTTTAGGGGGTTTGGGATAGATGACTCTCATCGTCCCTTCCAATTGGGCCATTCTAGGATTCTAGGATCCACTCACAGGCTAAGCACCTAGGGCTGCCCTGTGTCGATTTCCCATCCTCTCCTTCTGTAACAGCCCCATTCAGTTTTCCCTATTACAATGGCAGAACCCGGGGGTGGGGGATTGCTGGGGAGGGAAGGCACAGAGAGGGGAAAGTTCATTGTGTGTGTGTGACCTTATTCTCATATGTTAGATTCCCAAAACAGGAAGAATGCTCATATTAATACTTCTGCCCTAAACACATTCCCTCTACAGAGAGTCCAGCTGGCTCCGATGGAGTTAAGTTTCAAGTCAGCATGCATAGCATTGCAGCCTTAATTCTTAATGCCCAAATCATGATTCAGTTATAATTTGCATATGAAAAGTGCTTTCCTTCAAGATAGCCACAGGTGTCCAGTGAAGGGGGTGGGGGTGCGCTACTTGTCTGAGGGGGTTGCTTGCCCCTCTGTTACCACCTATGTACAATGTGCATTCCCTCATTCTCACAACTTTGGATGATCCTGGCGGGGTTGAGCAAATGCACATTTCATTGACATCAGGACATGGAGCAGCTTTTCCCAGCCTGGTGTCCGCTGGGCATTTTGGACTACAAATCCCATCAGCCGTAGACAGGGCTGATGGGATTTGTAGTCCAAAACATCTGGAAATCTGGGGGAATCTGGCATAGAGTACAGTTAGCCAGACATTATGGAGGGGACAGTTCTTTATAATATTGTTTTCCAGTGCAGGGCAGGAGGCATTTTCATCTTCCCCTACTTGCGGCAGGGCCCCCCAAATTCCTATGACTAGCCTTGTCACCTACCTCTACCTAAACTCTCCCTAAATTCTCCATGGACCACCTAGCTGTGTGCTAAAGGACCGAGCATCTTAAGAAAGACATTCTCTTTAAGTCCGATATAAATTGTTCCAGCAAAATCAATACTTGCAATTCGACTGCCAAGCTCTGTCAGTGGCTGAATCCCCAAATAGCAACGGACCCTCTGTGACCCAAAATGCAGCAGCGTGATTTATTGACACAGCTGGAGCTAAATGAGCTACCTGGCTGGATTTAAACTGGCCTGTTTTTTGGGGAGGGGAGGTTGTGCTGTTTTCCTCCTTCATTGAGGAGCGGCTCTGGCTCCACCAGGAACAATTCGTACTTTATAGCTTCTGAAGTGTGAAGTTTGGAGGGCTGCAACGAAGGTTACTTTGGAAGATCTGGGTGCAGCAGTTGATAGCACAATTTCTGGGAAATAAAACACTCACACTGCTTTCCACACATCAAAGATATGTGTAGCGGTCGGTGTGGTGGCACAGAGCTGCAAGAGCACCTTCTGAACACTAGTGTCGCTACAACTTACCTGGATGGGGCTGGTGTAGGTCTGGGTGCTGGCAAGCTTGGGGTTTTGAAGAAACACTGGTAGGAGCATCAGACTGGTATCAGGAGCTGGGATCAGGGGTAGGGCGGCAATAAATCACACAGCTTCAGTGAAATTAACTATTCAAGGAAACAAGGTTGACTTATGAGGCAAGGCCTAGAGAGCACAGCAACTTGTCCCAGTAGATCTTGCCCTTATGAGGCAGCTGTGGGGATGGAAGGTCCCCACCTTCCCACAGTTGCCTAAGTCTCTTCCTGCCCCCTGGGTCCTTCCCAAGCAATCTGAGACTTCAATTTTGTGCCTGTCTTCTTGTAAGTTGGTTTTGGCATTTTCTGTTCCTGTAAAGTTGATTCAGTTTGGATCAGCCCAGGTTAAAATGTGTTCATAGTGTCAACTGTGAAAAACAAACCCAGATGGAGTTTGGGAAGAAAAAAAATGTTTGATTTAAAGCCAAGGTCAAACTACGTGTTACATTAAGCACATTTCAGTGAAAAGTGTGCTCAGCAACGCCACTTAAGTCATTGATCAGTCCAGACAACAGATTTTCACCTATACATACTGATTAAAGGGCTCCTTTGTGCAGGTACTGATATCTATCTATCATCTATCATCTATCATCATCTAGCAGTGAAATGGTCAACCCCCCCCCCAACATATAGGATACTGAGATAGGGAGATAAACAAGGGAAAATTGGGAAGGAACGTTGCAAGCATACCCTAAGTACATCAGCACCAGATACATGAAAATAAACTCCAAAGAAAATCATACCCAAACTAGACATTATGCAGAAGACATCATCATCATCATCATTATTATTATCTGAGAGTCTGCCAATTTGAACAAAAGAATAGCAGTCACAATGAGCATCTCAACCCGTTCATATCCCACCATCTGTCTAGTCAAAAGGGCCCACTCTTCTAATGTAAGGGAATAGATACAGATCCAGAGATCCAGAAAAGCAATTCTGGGAAGGATAATGTGAGCAGGTGAACAAAGGGAGGAGAAAATATTAAGCACCCCCTTCTCCTCCACTAAAACTGACAGCCTCCGAGGACTGCTTCTCAATTGAAAAGAAACCTGGAGATTGGTGAGTTTTCTCCCATCCTCTCTTGACATCTACTTTGACCCTCTCATTCAGCTGTGCTTTTTCAGAGTATGTTGGAAATTCCACTGAGTGCGCTGCCTCCACAGAGAGGAAGAGGAAGCCGCTTGTAAAACCAGCCCGCTCCATTCAGAAGTTGATATACTGGCCTTATCCTAGCAGCTGGATCATCACAAGTCCAAGATGCTCTCATTTCTTTGATAATGAGATAACTGCCTAGAAACAGAGAGAAGAAATGACCGTCTTTAGCTGGGAGAGAGGAAGAAAGCTAAAGTGCAGCTCCTCATCGCAGCCGACATCTGTCTTCTCCCTTGATTCCCCTGCAATTATGCTAGGCAATGTTATCGTTCAGTGAGGGAAACCAGACCATATGTTTTAATACTGTACAATACTGATGTGTTTAATGCCAGCTTGTGGCTACTATTATAAATCCATCCATTGGAAAAATGATGCTTTGCAGCTACAGTAATCTAAGGAACCGTGTCTTGTTATTCTTTCTCTGTGTTATCATTTCACTGGAGAATAGTTATGGGGGAGCTGGGGGAGGGAAGGGTGAAGCAGCCACCACTGTTCAAACCAGGCTGTTGTTGTTAGAAATAAAAGAATAAATGCAATGATGAACTGGCTGAGGATGAATTGACCAGGGGTCGTCCAAGGAACTCGCAGTGAAATCTAATGTTTCGTGGCAAGCCCCAGGCAACATGCAGCAGAAAATAGACCTTATTTGGTATACAAGAAAGGGAAGAACAGCAGTATAAGAGAAACAGAGCATCTGTAGTAAAGTTCAAGGCATTCTTTGATGCCCTGTGCAGCTGTTCTGCTTGTGTAAACATGAATAGGGAAAGTGGCACTGATGGTCTGAAGGACTGCTTCCTTTTGCTCCAACCATCAACAGTTTCCCCAAAGGTGGTAGGTCTATTTGACATTGCTGAAGGGTATTTATCATGTCTGTGACACCATTCATACTTTGCACTCAGAATCTCTAAAGAACAGCCTTTCGCCTTTATTGCTCCTAGTTTATGGATTGGATACTAAGAACTCACAATATGCTCAAGGAAACTACCCAAGAAAATCCCCAGTTGGGCAAAAGCCAATGTTCTAGCAATATTCTAGCAACCTAGCTGATGTGTTCTGGACTAACAGAGTCTTCAACGGTGCTCCCATGCAATATTTACTGCAGAAATGGAGGGCAATAGCCAATGAATGTATCCCATCAGCACAATGGGACTTTCTCGATTCTCTTTTTTCTACATCTTTCCCAAATCTGCTCTGGAGGCAATGGAGAACCACTACAACAGATGAGGCATGGGGGGCAGAGATATCCTTGCATTGATGGGATGTGTTACTCCACACTACTTTGGATACATCCTATACCTAGAGGTTCGGGTCATCTCTTTGCAGGAGGGGCCACAAGTTTGTCCCCGTGCACCAACCTGAGATGTTGGGACTTGCTGCATACCATGGAGGCCTCAGGGTTTGTTGGGTGATGTGCGAAAAGGTCACACATCCGTATAGTTTTGTATTCTGCCCACATTGTGCCCACGTAGGTCTGCTCTTCTTCCCTGTTGCTTAATGCCCTCCTTCAGGGCCAGACACCCCCACCCCAAGACAAGCACCTGACTTTTACAACAGATGACCCTGGATTAGGAATGGCAAGCACTGTTGTGTTTTGCAAATAAAGTCTGAAAACCTGTACTTAAAACTATCAGGAATTTCTTGGCCCAGGGGGAAGAGATCTAATACAGAAGGTGTTGTCATATTTGTTTCTATGAAAAAGTCAATTATTTTTGGATTGGCCCCAGAGAATAAGGCAGCAATTATCCTGCTATATCCAGCAGATACCAAAAATAAACAGGACACGTTCAAGCTGTCACCAAAACAAGAAGGTTCTTCTTCTTCGGGTGCCTTTGACATTTCTTGCTTTGAAAGGGCACCTGTCTCCAAATAATTAGGTGGGGTGGAGATAATCTCCCTCTGAGCATCTTCACATTGTTAATGGAGGTGGCTAGGGACTTAGAAGGAGTTCAAGCACACAAACACACACCCTTCCAAATTACCAGGCACACTACATAATATCCAGCCCCCAACCTTTTGCAGCCTGAGGCGAAAATAAGAGACTCAAAATAGAAAAACAATGCAGCAGAGATGGAAAGCCATTTGAAAAGAAACAAAGCAAAACTATTCCAAGCAGGCCATGGGGTTATCCAGAAGTTTTGTTGTGGGGATTGAAACTTCTAGCTGAAGGATGAAGTTTAAATGCCCTCTAATGGCCTTGCTCTAGATCTGCAGGCATAAAACTGGGAAATTGTGAACAGTGATGAAGGCTAAGCAATGAACCTTTCTATATATATAAGCTGTCTATCATTTGGATCTCTGCCAGCAAAAGTACATTTCCTCTCACTGCGTTTCTTTTCTTCACACAAGCCAGTATTTTGACCCACTCTGGTATGAGCAGGAAACAGAACTGAGGATGGGGCTGGTAAGAGCAGGACTGGATTGTCAATGCATGATAAGGTTACATTTAGGATCACCCATTAGTATCTTGATCCCGACATGTTTCTCAGATCTTTTTTCTGACTTTTTAGTGTCAGCACAGGGCCAAACAAAACACAATGTGGAACCCATATTTATCTACTTACACATATGTCTGCTCTTTTCCCGTATAAGGTGGAAAGAGGGGCTCAAAGAGGCTGTGTGGACAAGGGGGGGGGGAGAGGGCCCCCCACATTATATTCCTGTATCCAATCATTTCAGGCACTTTTATATATGGAACATAGCAATACGCAACATTCATTGAACAGCAGCACAACGATATTCAACAGCAAAACAAAAAATAAACAAAGCACATCCAGAGATGTAGCCCTGTTTGAACTCTTGTCCTTTCTGCAAAGTTGGTATATGTCTTCAGGCATTTTCCCATAGTCTGACTGGGCTGCTACTGAGAGAGCCATTGCTTTCATTCCCTCCTGGTGAACTTCCAAGAGTCATCTGATTGGCTACAGTGGCGAAGAGGATGCTGCTGCACTAGAGGGATCTGAGCTAGCAGGGCACATCTTTTCTTTCCAATACTGGAATAAAGGTGAGAGGAAATTTCTAGGGGTGGCTGAATGCAGAGAAACAAGGCTCAGGATTGGGGAACATTAAGCTCCCCTCACCAGGGGCATCGCAACAGTGGGCCGGGGGGGGGGCGGTTCACCCCGGGTTCCATGTCTGCGGGGTGACAAGAAGTCACCCCGCGGGGGCTCGCGGCAGCGCGAGCAGCCATCGCGCCGCCACAGCCGCAGCCACATGTAGAAGATCCTCCGTTCACGGCTGCAGCCGTGAGCAGAGGATCCCAGCACCATCCGTACGGCACTGGAGCGGTGCCGCTGGCAAACTGTTATACAGTGCATGTGCGGCGTCACTACATACGGCACATGTGTGCAATGCCGCACATGCGCTGTACTTAGCGGTGCCCCAGCGCTAGCGCTCCAGCGCAGTACGGGTGGTGTCGGGATCCTCTGCTCACGGCTACAGCCATGAACGGAGAATAATAATAATAATAATAATAATAATAATAATAATAATAATAATATACTATTTATACCCCGCCCATCTGGCTGGGTTTCCCCAGCCACTCTTGGCAGCTTCCAACCGAATATTAAAAACAATACAGCGTCAGACATTAAAAACTTTCCTAAATGGCTGTAGTGGTGATGGAGGGATCCTGGCACTGTCCGTACGGCGCTGGAGCACCAGCGCCGGCAAACCGCTATACAGCGCATGTGCAGCGTCGCTTCATACAGCGCATGCACCAAACGTAGTGATGCCACACATGCGCCCTACGTAGCGGCGCCCGCCCCGGGTGTCATGCTGCCTTCCTTCGCCCCTGCCCCTCACTCATGCAGCCTTTCCAATATTAAAATATACACATACTCCCCTGTCTGTGTATGTTGGGAGTGGGGAACTGTTTTGACTGCGGGCCAGATCCTTATGAGCTCCTGGATTAACAGGCCAAATTTGGCAAGTGGGTGACATTGCCCACCTGCCAATCACTTGATGTCACAATGACATGAAGCGATTGGGCGCTTTGAAGTCCCAAAGTAGAGACATCAGAGCAATGCACGGGGCCTGCAAAGAGTCCTGAGTGGTGGTTTAAAGACTTGAGGCTTGGGTTTAGCACAGCCAACCCACCTGCCCAACAGGTGGTAGAGTTGAAGCCTGTTTTACTTTGTCAGTGTGCACTTTATGGCTCCTTATTGTGCATTGGCAGCCGTGTCTGTACCTGCTCTGCACCTAACGTCACATATGAAAGATGAGGTGGGGAGCAAGTGGATGTGGTTTGGGGGAAATGGCCTCACAGCCCAAACTTGAACCCCTGGTTTGCCAGATTTGGCCCAAAGGCTGGAGGTTTGCCATCCATGCTGTTTTATGCTCACACGTTGAATAAAAAACATGGCTTCCACAATCACATCTAGTTTGACCCTCAAGTCTTCTTTCCAGTAATAAAGTAATATGTTCTTTGGCCTGCAATAACAGTAAGACTGTGATTCATATCAAAAGGGGACTCATAATAAATGGTGGTGAGGAAACTTAACAATGGCATTCTGTGGGAAAATTGAGGAGTTTGGCACTGGAAAAGAGGACTGGCAGCAATATATTGAAAGCAAAATTGGGCCACTCTTATCTAGGAAATGGAACGAATGATCAGGACAAACAGAAAGCAATATTTTTCAGTGTCTGGGCAGTGAAACATACTCCCTCTTAAGAAAGGTTTTGCAGCCCCAGAAGCCAGGAGACAAAAGTATAGCAGACCACCAAAGCATGTTACCAGAGAACTCTATTCTGAAGCCAAGCATTGTTGTGGGATGTTTTACATTCCATAATAATATGCGCAGAGAAGTGGGGTTTACATCAAACCATGCAGCCGAGCAAAAAAAGTTACTGCCCATTTGGTCACCTCCTGGAAGATATATTGAGATAGGCTTGTTTGTGGCTTGTGGAGTGAGGGAATGATGAGAAAATGCAAAAACGGCTGCTGGCAATAGAAAAACTGACCCAGGCCAAGGACTGTGGAACTGGAAATAGCTAGGGAAACTGGGGGGTGGGGATGGGGGGAAGAATCTTAAAAGGATTTATATTTTTAAAATATAAATAAGGGAACTCAGATTGCTTCCATAAACAAATTACAAATCAAACAACGAAAGCTTCGAGTCATTGAAAGGTGCTTGGGGCAGTTTGTTCGGTTTCAACATGTGAGCATAAAATGTTCCAATGCCCCCTAACCGAACATGTTCAGAGCACCCCAAGGTATGAATACGTCGGCAGGAGCAAGTCCCGCTGTGTTCAGTAGGCCTTAATGCCAAGGAAGTGCTCATACTATTGCAGCGTTTGCCTAAAGCATTAGATGGCCTAAAAGACTGCACAACAAGTCCATGGAAGTCACTTCCCAGAGAACAAGGAAGGAAGCAGAATGGCTGCTTCTAAGGAGAACT